CGGTCTGGCCCTGCTGTAGCACCCCCCCCTCCCGCAATGGTTCCGTCCTCGCGAGCTGCTATCCCTCCCCCCGCTCTCGTCCCCGCGGTGGTTCGTTCCGCCGCCGAGGAGGAGCCGGCCGAGCCCGCTCCGGCGCCTACACTAAGGAGGCGCCAAGATGGCGGAAGCCTGAGGAGGGGAGGAACGTACCATTCAGCCGAGAACAGGGGCGCTCACGAGGGGGAGGGGGCGGGGGCGGCAGCTCTAAGGGAGGGTCCGAGCGGTGCTCGCTCGGGGTGATTTTGCACGCTGACGGCGTCACAACCATCCGGGAAGCGAGGCGGGGAGGGGTCGCCTGGCGAGACTAAGCCGCCCGGGGGAAAAGGCGGCAAACGGACCACCCCTCCTGCAGCGTGCCGTGATGGTCACGCCCATCAGGCGTGACGTACGGACGAAGCCCCGCCTCGCCCTGCCAGAGCCAATAAGGAGCGAGGCGCCTGGAATTATGAATGGGTTGGTGGCGGCGTCAGGCAGGCCCCATTGCAGCGGCGTCTCGGCTTTAGCAGCCGGTCCCCTTGCTCCAGGCAGCCGCGGGCGTCGGGAGGGAAACGCTGGCTGTGCATCTGCCCGAGCATTGTCCTGCAGAGAGGGACGAGCTGTTTGTAGCCGGCTATCTCCCTCATGATTATTTAATGGCAGGGCCTGGCTGTCTGCCTTACGTGTGCAAGCACTGAACGCGGCAGCTGGCAACTTGTGCTTGTAATTGTTATATGACTTCTAAATTACTATTTACTTTCCTAATGACTTCTTCAGAGACCTTGCAGCTATTGTTCCGGCGGTGGGGGCAGCCGCCAACTAGAAGACGAGCACATGTGTAGAAACAAACCACACAAAGTAATACGAGCCACTGGCGTCATGCCTGAGGTGAAAGGTTTAGGTGGAGATAGGGAAGGGAAGGAGTAAGAAATAACGTGCTGGGTGTGGTATATGGATTTCTTTAAAAACAAAAAAGTTTAAAAAATATTTTCCATGCAGATTCTACCTCCCATTTGTATCCATGTTAGACCAGACTCCACCAGGGAGCAACACTGACCTGATGGAGGGAAGTGGTTTTGTAAGGTGGCTTATCCCAAGAGTGTTTGAATGCAGTCTGCAAAAATCATCAGGTGAGGTTGTTGGCAAGGATATGAAGTCAAATTGTTCACCCTTTCTAAATTAATTGAGGGCCGCTCGACTTCAAATTGTACCCACCCAACCAGCAACAGTGCTTGTTGCACTGCCCCTTTAGGTAAGGGAACAAATTAAATGGAATTATATACCCTAACAGTGCAAAGTTGTAGTTACTTATTAAGGTAGGGTGACTGTGGGGAGGAGCATTTTTATTATTTTCTCAAGGAGCTGTAACATATTGCAGTGACAGGTCATTGGTCCCAGGTCTTTTCACTACAAATAGAATTTGACTCTTTTACAAGACCACAAGGGAGAGGTTAAATAGAACAGTTAAAAATAGTATTTTAAAAACAACAATGTAGGCTGATATCTATTATCTCTACATACACACACATTCCCTTGCGGTACAAAATCCCAGAGGAACGTTTAGTGCATCACCTATAGCTTGTTCATTTTTCTTTTCACCCAAGTCTCTTCCTAGCTGACATGTCATTCAAGCCTGTAAGCAACTGAAACAACTAATCTGTATGTATCTTATAAATTCTGGCTGGAATTAACTCTGGACACTCTCCTTACCCATTTCCAAACTAGGGACATTGAACACTGACCAAGCAACTTTTTATCAGTCTGCCACTCACGTAACTTCACAGAAGTCTGTGGATTGACTTCACAGATGAATCTGTCCTGCTGATTTTAAAAGTACTGATAAAATAGATCCTTTCTTAGTCATACAAAAAGTTAGGACAATTTGTCCAATGTAATAAGTAGTTACACCACCAGTTTGTGTCTGGTGATAACAGCATTAAAAACGGCCGCTGGTTTAGGTGGAGAACAGAAGAGATCTGACAACACTAACACAAAGATTCAGAATAACTCCAGCTAAAGGTTTGCTGCAGTTTCAAACTCAAGTTACAAATACATTCACAATGCTAGAAGGCCAAATATGACATACAGAAATCCAACTCTTGCCAGGATGGCAACTGCTCTTGCAAGTATGTGTAGGTTGCTGGAGAATTCCCTTCTACATGGAGCAGCTCCGTTTTGAGGAAGACGCACCTACTGAATGGTTCTAAAAAGAAGTCCTAGTGAACCAGCACATGGACAGAGGAGAGGAAGGTTCATCTCTGCATAAAGTTCTTTTCCAGGGCAGCTGGTGTTCTCTGGATTGAGTGGATGTTGCGTTTGACTCGATCTTCCAGAGAGGAAGTGGCTGCACTCTCTAGTTTTATGTGGCTGCAGAAGAATTGAACCAGAAAGAAAATGAGCATATCCTTCCCAAATTCACCACCTTTCTAGTAGACTTCCATGACTTCTGGGCTCACGCGCCTGAACTAAACTAAAATAGGAAACCAGCTACTGCTTCCTATTGCAGTTTGTGTTGGAAAAATGGAATGGTTACATTTTAGCCTGCAGCAGACTAAATACCATATTCAGGGTCAGTGTTTCTATGTATACATTTTAAATGACTCTCTAGTACTCCTCAACCTTCCAAATATAGCTAACTGTTAATTACTAATGCATCTGTCACAGGGGATTCGGCTGCTTTCTGAGAGGCGTACAGGAGGGAAAAGCAATCTGTCCCTGAAATGAGGGCAGCACTTCTCTGGGAACTAGAATGCCATAGCTCACATTGTAAATTGCTAAGTTAGCTACAGACAAGAAGGGATAAATGTGATGGCTGACTTCTTGCTTTTAAAACTCCAGCCACACTATTAAAAGACAACCAGTGCTCATCCTTCGCCCTCAAGTAACACAAAAACACACAATCTGTTAAGTCAACTTGTCTGAGTGGGGAGGGAACTACCCTCCTCTAGAGAGATCTGATTGTGAAATAAGAGACTCTAGGTTAGTTTTAAGTCACTTTGCACCCTCCCAATTCTGGGGCATTACAGAAGCTTGGCCCTTGGCAGGATGCATATAATCTTGCATTGTTAACTAAGTTATGGCAGGCTCCTTAAACTGCACCAGGTCCTGTGGCCCTAAATTTCACCCTGCTCACAATGTCTGTGGAGCTTAAGAAATCAGCTTCTAGAGCTGTCCTCCTCAGATTCTCAACACAGAAAACCTTTCCTTAGCTAGATCTTGAGCGTTTTAAGCTTTACACTGCTCAGACTCTCTAACCCAGCATAAAGAGGCTGGAGTAGGGACAAAGGATCTAACCCCTTGTTTACAGATATGTTTCTCTCACAATACCTCTTTCCTCCAGGATCTCTAGTCATTTCTTTATCTAGTTCAGGGTCCAATCATACAAACCCTCTATACACTGATTCCCAGTGGTGTTCGTGAAGGACTGGGCCTATACTTTGTAGGCCCTGAAGACAAAGACCTTTCTTTATCTGTTTACAGAACACCTCCTCCCTGCCACTTCTCTGTTGCTACGCAAATTATTTACTTCAGCACCACTGTCCAATCTAAAGGATGAAACAGCCATGACCATACTCACTTTCTCTTTTTTTTTTGGAAAAAAAGTAGATTAAAAAAAATAAATCTCCTTCATTTTACTGTACAAAGTAGAAGAGGATGATAGAAATCAAAGTCTCTTAGTTTCTGTCTACTCCCAAACCTATGCCTGTGGCCAGTTCAGGACACCTGCTCTACAGTAGGTTTGTCTATTCTGACTGTAAAGGTCCCAGACACTGGGACTTCCACCCATTCCCTTATAAACTATGGCTTGTAGTTTCATAGATTTAGGGTCGGAAGGGACCTAATAGATCTTCTAGCCCGACCCCCCGCCAGGGCGGGAGAACAACAAAACCCCAAAGCAAGAAACAGGACTCAAATGAGTCCAGCCAGGTAGGCATCCAGCCTCTTCTTAAAGACCCCCAGGGTAGGGGCCAGCACCACTTCCCTTGGAAGTTGGTTCCAGCTCCTAGCCGCCCTAACTGTGAAGTAGTTTTTGCGGATGTCCAATCTATACCTCCTCTCCATCAACTTGTGCCCATTACTCCTTGTTATGCCAGCGGGCGCTAGGGGAAACAGCGTCTCCCCCAAACCCTTCTGGTCCCCCCTAGTGAGTTTATAGACGGTCACCAGGTCCCCCCTCAGCCTTCTCTTGTGGAGGCTGAATAGGTTCAGGTCCCGCAGTCTCTCACTGTAGGGTCTGCCCTGTTGTCCCCGGATCATGCGGGTGGCCCTCCTCTGGACCCTCTCCATGTTGTCCACATCCCTCTTGAAATGGGGCGCACAGAACTGGACACAATACTCCAGCTGTGGCCTGACCAGCGTCGCGTAGAGGGGGAGGATCACCTCCTTGGCTCTACTCGAGATGCACCTGTGGATGCACGACAAGGTCCGGTTAGCCCTGCCAACCATGACCTCGCATTGTCGGCCCATGTTCATCTTGGAGTCAATAATGACTCCAAGATCTCTTTCTGCCTCCGTGCTCTCGAGTAGGGAGTTCCCCATTGTGTAAGTGTGCTGCTGGTTCCTACTGCCCAAGTGCAGCACCCTGCACTTGTCCGTATTAAAACGCATCCTGTTCCTGTTAGCCCACCCCTGTAACCTATCCAGATCCCTCTGCAATCTCTCCCTCCCTGCTAGCGTGCTCACCTCCCCCCAAATTTTGGTGTCATCAGCGAATTTAAACAGGTTACTTTCCACCCCATCATCCAGATCGCTGATGAAGAAATTGAACAGCGCAGGCCCCAGGACCGAGCGCTGGGGGACACCGCTACCCACCTCCCCCCAGGTCGAGTATGACCCATCCACCACCAAGTTAAACTTGGACAGAGGAAAGGAACAGCAGGATACTCACTGCAGGAATTTTCCATCTCGGGAGTCAAGTTTCTGCAGCTCTCGTTCTCGCTCCTCCTCTTTTCGGTGTTTCCTGATGTTGTTTGCCCTCTCTTCTTCCCGCCACTTAGCATTTTCCATCATTTCCTGACGCTTGCGTTCTAGCTCATCTGCGGAGATCTTTCTGTTCACCAAGGAAGGAATACCACTGGGAATTATGATCCATTTGTTCCTACCATGCTCCCAACTTGCATCTCCTATTCCCTGACCACAATCTAGAAGTTATTTATGGGAAGTGTGTTCTAAGTGTTTATTAGCACAATACCCTACTAGAAGAACCTCCATGTTTGCTAAAGTTCTCATGTACTGCCATTTAAGAAGGCACTTCCTATCTTGGAGGAAAGAGACTGGCAACACAGCCACCCATATCTGGAGTTCTCTTGCACTGGCTTTTTGGCCTTCAAATTCTGGCAGGCCTTTCTGACATCTTTCCCTCAGGTCCTGATAACTAAGACACAGTGTGCGTGCTTGACTGCTTTGCTATGTTGTGTCCCTAGCAAGAAGATATTATTCCTTTTCTCAATGGTTGGTAATTGATTGGTAAGACAATGCCTGCAGGATCATCACATTATCCTGATTACAGTGAAACCGAATACTTCCAGCTATCGCTCTGTAGGATGAAGACATCAACTTCATGTTACCCTCATGTGCTGGTGCAAGATATTTGAAGAACTGGTACCTGGGAAAAAGAAGTCATACTCAGAAGCATCACACACTGACTGATTTGGAACCATCTTCCTGACTTGCTGGACCTCTGGGACACTGTGCTAGTTAATATTATTTCCTTGCATTACTCATGCCTTAACATTTTACCATCACTTCAGGAAGCTTTTTTATGAATGCATCACGTGCACAGGTTTTTACCTACTTAGTATACCCTGAAGCATGCTGTCGGCGGTATCCTTTCTTCGGGGAAGGGCTTCTAGTTCTTCCCTTTTCCTTCCAATCCACTTTGGTGCTGTACCTGTAACCCAGGGGAACACATTTTTAACAACCAACCTGCATGACATTAATATACAAAGAGCTTCTTTCTCTATTAACCACAAAAAACTAAAGCTGGAGGTGAATCTGAAATTACAAACTTTCACCTAGTTTTGGGACCATTATCTGTCATTTTTCAAAGGACTGAATGTTTTTAAAAATGAATATTGACACACAATATTTAGTTTTGTAGATTTTTTTAAATTTTCATCCAACTTAAATCCTTAAATCAGCAGAAAAGAAGATAATTCACATCTGAGCTTTATCCACTTTTAAAGATGGTATAAGATTCTGCAATAAGAAAATTTTCATCAATCAGTGTTTTCCAAAGCATTTTTACAGTACTGAAACTTGTTAAAAAGCAGCAACACAATATTCATCTTTACACAGTTTTAAAGCAGGGCTGTCCAAATGGCAGCCTGGCCCATGAGTGGTTAAATTATGGCCATGGGGCTGTCAGAGCTGCTGTGTCAGTTGGATGAGCAACCCAGGGGGTGGGGGTTAACATCACCACAGCTCGCCCAATTGCAGAATTTCTGGGTTGAGATCTTCCCTACTGGGACCTTGGCAGTGGGGCAAGCAGTGGAAGGTTGTCAACATGCAAGGGTTTAACGTTGGTGCTGCTCATCCTGCCAGAGGTGAGTCACATGGCCCATGAGACACTTCATGATCCAGATATGGTCTGCCAACCCAAATAAAATGAACAGCCCTGTTTTAAAGAGGCACTATCAGTTCTAAGGTCATGTACTATTTTTTTTCCTTTTTAAACAAATAGCCCCCAAAAGGACTATAGCTGAAGGAGAAAGAAAATACTTCACCAATTTGCTTTGTACATTTTTATAAAGTTAATTTCACCATTTCTCCTGTATCATCACATTGCCCTTTGGCATATATGTTTGGGTTGTTATTCTCCTCATCTTTCACAGTGACAAAGAGAGAAAAAGGTTTTAAAGAATGGGAAAATGTGATGGTAAAAACACCACATAAAATGGCAGTGATGCTGGCGGCGGAGTGGGTCTAGAAATTATCATCACACACACGCTATTCTGTCAACTTGGAAGCGGAAGTCATTTTTTATACAATTGATCAGACATTATCCTGCCCCCAGGGTATACATATCAAACATGCAGTTTTGTACTGCTGCATATCACCACTGTACCTAAGTGCATTTCATATAAAACCAATGGACTTCCAGGAGTCTCCAGCATTTTTTGGGTGACAACTCAGCCTGCAATTTTTGGTTTTTTGTTATTAATTTATTCTTATGCTTAGAAGGTATCCGAGA